TTGTAAATGATTAAAATCATATTGAACTGATTTCCAGTCCCAATGTTTAAACTGAGAATATGTATTAATTAACAGTTCATTCATCTTCTTCTTCTTCATATGAAGAGATCATAATTATATTGTGCATTGCACAATACTACTGACTATATATTCAATCTTCGAAAACGGATCGAACTAATTTATATTTTCGCAAAAGCATAGTAGCTGCGAAAAAAATGTTTTTTTTCATTTTAATTGTAACAGTGTGAGGAAATTGTGTCCATATCGGTATCTTGCTATAACTTCAATAATAGTTGAACTCAGTTTCACGTTCAGGTAACTGTTTAACAAAAAAAATTTTCATTGCTCAACAGGCATACTACGCGGTTTTGCTATCAGGAGAACATTGTAAGCGAAGTGGACTTCCGGAGTACTCTTCGGTTCGATATTAAGACAATCGGGCCTTTAATCGACCGCTGGGATCAAAAATATTCTTATCAACTTAACAACTATCTTTTTAGAAATATAAAATGTCGCAAAGAGTCTCACTTTCACTTTGCCTTATATGTGCTTGCATTTTCTAAATTCGAAATATTCATCCGATTCTCTTATGGGTTTTTCTTTTTTTGATTTCGCCAGTGTTTTTGAAAAGCAATGACGTATAGATTAATGACAATCCGACAATTAGTTACAGTTATAAACGCTGACTTGATTTCTACATTAAAAACCCAAAGGAATATGTTAATTAGATAGCGCCCAGGATGTAGGAATAAGTTCGAAAGCAAAACTATGCCTAATTTATCACAAGCGTAATGCCGACAATATTAAAGCATTATAGATCAAAACTATGAGATTAACGGGGCCAGGTTGCCCGCTCACTCAACGGCACATGCACTTATTGAAAAAAAAGACGGATTAAAGGCACGTTTGCTTTCTAGCAATTTTCATGCGAAAGCTTGCACACTTCGATGTCCTCTGCGGAAACTTTGATAGAACGGAACATCTATGAACAGATACGCTTACGCTTGCGTAATATTAAATTGCATAATGATGACTAATGGTACATATGTGCTCTGCATGAACCTGATCAAATACTCTCTGGTATACTTCGGTGGAAACATATGCTTGGGTATGAACCTTTGGAGGAAAAATTGAGTAAAAATTGATTCGGCTTAAGTAATGTGTGAGGTCTGACTATTTGGAAGCGGCTCATCGGATAGATTTTTCCATTATTTGACAAAACTAAAAATAGCGGATTTGGTCAAAAAGTTGGCGGCAAACGGACTTATTGGAAATAAAACAATTGCTTAAGGGCGCCATAAACTATTCATAGAAGATTGGAAATATTGAAGCGGGTTCATCTAGCCTCATTCAGGGTTCAGGACGAAGTCAACAAAATTCTCTCGAAAATTGCCTTGAAAATATTCATATTAGTAGGAGCCGTTGTATGGCTTTCTAATGCCAGTCACTTAACGCAGGAATAAAAAAATCGGTTATTAATTGTAGTTGCCACACCAAATACTAATAATATATTTACACAAAAGCTATTTATGATTCTGTTGAATGTTCGGAGATGTTCGGAAGTTTCAGATGAATAAATATTAGCTAGTGCGAGCACTATGAGTTATTTATTGATCAAAATGTTGCGATATTTTTCGTTTTTTTATATGTTGTTTTAGAACTTTTCCTCTGCCGTCGTAAGCGTAAGCGTAAAATGTGATTCAAATTTCAATTTGCATTCAATTGAGAGCCTATGCGACAAATATTAAGTTTCTAGCAAAAGTAGTAAACATTTCGTTTGATTAGATGGATTTAGATCACCATATGAACAAATGAAAATAAACAAATGGTTTCTGACTTTAGAGTACGGCATACTTTATAATTATAATACGCTGCTGGCTTTATATTCACAAAGAAGTAATGTAAGCTCAGCTTCAGCTAATGTAAGTCATCGACGATATCCTTATACTTGTACTAACGATTACTTCTGACTATCAAATGTTCTCTTCTACAGCCGATTAAGATAAAGCATAGCACTCTTATTAGATTGCAGTATAGGAGTTTATTTTTAACACTAAAAATAAATTATTAGAGTGTACGTCGTTTTGATTCTTTTTATATTTTCGATTTTCGAAAAAATGTTTATACCGCATGTAAAATTTCAAAATTCTTTGATAAATATTTAAGAAATGACCTTCAAAAATCTATAATTTTGTATCTGTGCTAATATCCGAGATATTGACGGAATATTCCTACTCCGTCCAGAGGGAATCATTTTCATCGCAAGTTTTTGTGTAAAGTCACCACAACCGCAAGGTTGAAGAGATTTGGAGAAACTTGGCAAATGTCGCTTGATCCATTAAAAATCGACGAGTTCAGAAAGGGTTGTAATCTGTGTACGTGCACGCCCACATAAACTAAGACACACTTTAAAAAAATCCCAGTAACTTTTTCATATTTTCTTCTATGACTTTGCCCGAGAAATCGTACGACCCAGAGATTCCCGAAAATAAATGGTAAAATACACGTTCCAAATTATTTTCATCTGACTCAACTAACGTCAAATATTTTTCTAAGATTTTATGCAAACTTTTTTACAGATTTCATTTATTTACGATGGATAGTAAAGACTTATCTAGAACATTCCCTTCAATTGTGATATAAATGTAATTATCAATTATTATCTTCTACACAGCCAGTCGTATTTTACAGTACGAAAGTTTACTATCGAAAGTGATGAATAGGATGATAGTTTTTTAACGACAGACTTTGCCGGAATATATAAATGATTTTCATCTCGTATTTGTTTTGATGGTAACTGAAAAACGATGGCGAAGAAAATGAGAATTTTAAAGATAATAGTTTCAATCACTAAATTTCAGACATATTTGGTAATCGAATAATATGAAACTGGAAAGAGAAGTAGAGTGCAATTTAGACTATAGTTCAATCAAATTTACAACAAATTTACAACAAAATTTACAAGAAATAAAATAAAGAAAAATTTATACCATTGTAAGAAGAACTTCTTTTATTATTAACGCTAAACAGTATTTATAAACTTTCGTAACAATTCCAATGCTTTTATACATATTAACCTGTTAAGGGACGTTGGCACATATGTGAAATGTGATTTGAAAGAGAATAAGTGACAAAATTATATACGGTTGTGACCAAATCTTTTATATCCCTCACCGCTATTCTATGTAAGACTAAAGCAAAATAAAGGAAAGGCATTTTGCATACTCTATAACATTGTGGGTGGGCGCAACTGATTACATCTATTTTGAGAAAAAAAGTGGAAATTTATATGATGTATGTGATGTACATTATAAGTAACATTTAAAAACCACAGGATGTAAAAGTGTTCACAGTTTTTGCTGTATAAGTGTGTGGCCGTGGTAGGCGTGTCCTCGGAAAACTTTGCGTCATTAGGCGATATCTCCATTTTCTCGATCCAGGAAAATATATATATTTAAGCAGACCCATCGAAGAGCAGGCGGACATACAATGTTACTTTTTGCTTCTTCACCTTGCAAAGGTATTTAAAAAAAAAAAAAAAGGAAAATAATTTTCACACACTATAATATTGAATGGGCGTGGTCAATTTTCCCAATTTTTGTATAGGTACAAGCGCATATACCACAGATATGGATCATTAGCAACGCATAGAAAGAAGCGCATAGAAGAGATACCCTAAACCGTACATATTATGTATTCTCCATCAGCATTAAATCTTGAATCGATTTCGGCAAGCCCGCCTGATCGTCTTTGTACTGTGTCCTGTAAATATTTCCCTGATCGCAAAAATGAAGCTATCGACTTTAAATTTGGCAAAAACATTGGGAGCTCTTGCACGCAGGTTGGTATTGAAAATGATCCAAATCGATCTCAATCGGGTCGGAACGACACTCCTAAAAGATTATGTAAACTGAGAGCATCTAAGACATTAAAGACAAAAAATAAATTGGAATTTTGCTCATTGCTCAAAATTGGCAAAAAATTGGCCACGCCTACCGCATAGTAAAACTTAATTTGCTTTTGGAAAACCTTTATAACGTCCAGAAGGAAGTTGGAAAATCCCCGTAAAGTGAATACATTTTATGGTCAGTGTTAAACTCGAATTGCACCTAAGCATGTCCGTCGTGGGTCGGGTTATTTGTTTGCCTGCTCAGCTATGTCTGCGGTAAACATTCTCTTGTTCGTCTAAAAATTTGCAAAAGAATTTGAAAATTACCTAAGCTGGTTAGAAGATACGCCTACAATATAACAAAAAATTAGAACATCTTTGCCCTCAGTGTTTCTTAGATATGAGGCATTAAGTTGCCCGATATATAGTAGTAGTGGATACATTTGTATCCGTTATCGCCTTAGGTTTTATTTAATCGTTCCGAATGGGTTAAATATATTGCTAGACTCAAAACAATCACAAACACATAATATGTTTTGGAAACAAAATAAAAATTTTTGTGCATGCTTAAGATGACCTTACAGCAACATATGAAATGTTGAATCAACATTTCTACAATGCTTAAGCTGTTGCTTGAGAAGCATAGACCATTAAAAAGCGACAACATTTTGTAGTCGTTAAACGAATGTGTTTCGTTTTTCGACCAATTTTTATAATTCGTTCCGATGAATTTTTCAGGACTGTTGAGTTAATGTTGATGCACGAAACAATTCAGTTGTCGTGCAACCACTTAATGTAACGTTAATGTTTTTGGTGTGGCCGTTAAATAAATTTGAAAAATGAAGTTTTTGTTTTTTTTTTTCATTGCTCTTATTATTAATAATAATAATAATAATAATAATTATAATAATTATAAATAAATAAAGCATATATTATTAAAAATTTTACACAATGAAAAAAATTTGCAATAATTAATGTGCGAAAAGATATAAAAATAAAAAAAATTATATACAAAAAAATATAAAAATAAATAAATAAATTTTGCAAGCAAAAAAAAAAAAAAAAAATTTTTTACGCTTTATCTAACTAAATAACGAAAAGCTAAAATACAAAAAGAATAAATAAAACGCATAAAAAATAAAAAAAGAGTTAACAAAAGAATTTTAATGCAATATCCGCTTCCGTTTTATAAACTTCCGTACACTTGTTTGGTAGCATTGTCTGTCACCTTTGAGAATTTGTGTACGTTGCGTTTGTTTATTTCCCTTTTTCCTTTTGTTTTGCTTTTCACTTCAATAAAAGTAAGTTTCATTTGCACACATAGACACGGGTTTATTACAAACTATTCCCATATACAAGCGCAATCTGTGCTTTTCGTTTGAATGCGTACGTGTATGTGTGTGTGTGTATGGATATGTGTGCCTGCTTGTCCGTGCGTGTGCGAGCATAACTGTGTGTGCGTTTATTTAAAACGTTTTGTTTAACTATTATGATCTTTTTATGATGCTAACACTTTATGGTAAAACGGCAACAAACAGTATTCACATTTCCCATGGTGACTGTGGGGGCAAAGCTCAATAAAATAATGAATATTTTATATATAAGGCACTATGTGTGTGTGTGTGTATGTGTGTGCATGCTTGATTCTCTACGAATTGAAATTGAATAGAGAGAAACAAGCAAACACAGACACACATATACATACATACATACATACATACATACATACATGCACATACATACATACATATACATACATACATACATATACATACCTACATATACACAGGCACAGACACAGCCACACACGCGCGTATATAATAATATACATATATATGCGTAGTCGCGTGTGTGCTTATGCACATATATATCTTAAAATGGGCATTCATATATTTATATAGATATGAGAGGCACTTACCTTTCCCGTAAACTTAAACATAGTGCATGTTTCAGACAAGATATCGAGCAAAGATATGAAACTAAATTTTTTAAAGTTACATCTATATATATATATATGCACACATACATACATACATGTGTATGAACGAAAAATGAAATAATAGAAAATACTATAGAAAATTTAAAGGAAAAAGCTTTCACGGCAATGCTCATACATTTTCATACATTATATATTTGGACATATTCTGACACACAGAATGAAAGAATAACTTTAGCCACGTTTATATATCGTTGGTTAGTTTGGTTGCTTTTACAACGGCTTAGTGTTTGAAGGTGTGTGTTATGGGCATTTTTTGGTTATTTTTTTTTTTCTCTAATTTTTAAATTCTTTTGCAACAAAGTTTTTTCCCTTTTCCTTTTGCTTTTTTTTCTTCATCTGCTTAAATATATCTCTTTATCTACCGTGTCTTTGCTGGTTTTCATTTGTTTATTTCAAAGGAGAGAAAAAAAAAAGAAAGAAAAGAAAACAGGATGTTAAAGGCTATTGAGTGAAATTCCTTGATGGTATTTTAATGCAAAGTAAAATTATTTTAGTGCGCGCGGTCTTTTTGCAAAATTCTAAGACAGCCTTACGCTAAACCTTTCCATAAATGTGAAATTTCTTCTTATACATATATATATATAAATATATATTAAAAGAAAATAATTTACTTATGTTATCGGATGTAATAGCATAAACCTTTCTCAACATACATATATATATATATATATATATATATATATATATATATATATACCTAAATGTCCTATAACACTGTTTATTTACACATGTTTACTTCAGTTATGCAAAGTGGTTTTTGTGTTTATATAACTAATTCAACTAGATCTTAGATAAAACTTGTACAATCCCGAGGGCAGTGGATTTTGAGAGCATTAAAAAAAAAAAAAAAGAATTAAATTTTAAATACCATTGATCTTGAAGAAATAAATAAATCAGTGAACAACCGAACTTTGATAAAAACAAATCATAACAACGTGCGTGAATAATTCATATATGCAGGTAATTTTTTATCAAAAATATCCTAAGGATTATGATTCTATGATTCGAGATGTGCATGGTTCCTGCCATCCATGCCATTTTATTAATCAAATAATTAGAAAACGTAAAACAATTTCGCTTAACTACTTGATAAAATTAATAAATTCCAAATAGGGCTTTGTTAAGTTTCTCGATTAATCGGTCAACTCGATGATGGAAAACAAAGATTGACTCGTTGATATAAAAAGTTTCTTTAAAAAAATGACGAGATAAACATAAGGCATTAAATTTATTAAGTAAATTTCTTAATCCATTTCGATTAATAGACTCTCGAAAATTTGGTAAAGGTCTATTTAAGCGTAGCATTACGCTGAGCATTCGGGAACCGCATATTCAATAAGCGTCAATGAATGGAAATTCAACAAATAGTGCACTCTTAAGCCGAATTGGAAAGACCGAATGCTTCGCATGGCCATTCCAAGTCAGGCATTGCTTTTTTTTTACCAAGTCTATCTAGTTGATCTTGACGTTAAGGTTTGCAGGTTTCGCGAGCATATTCAAGCAACAACATATCGTAGATAACAGAGTGTGAAAAAATGGCCAGCTCCTCTTAACTAATTGAATAGAAGCATTACTAGAACGTGGCATACTTTAAACTTAAGAAGCGTAAATGGATGAAATTTGTTTGAATAGCACTTCCGACCATTCTGGCCATTGAAAATTAGGCAGCAGAACGCTTAAAAAATGAAAATTACAAGAAAAATGAATATTAAGTTGGAAAAGATTTAAATTTCACCCCTTCAACCATCAATATCAAATTGGTGCGACGGGTGCATGACTGAATTGAGAGTTGATCAAAAGCGACAATTGGGCAAATTGTGTATGGAAGGGATAACATATTTCACATAATCTAAATATTCGTATATTGACAGAGTTTCATTTGTTAATACGTTACTTACGAAACTTACTTTAATTTCAACGAGATATTCTGATGAGTATTTTCAAGTCCAACGTATCAAAGATTAATTGATAAAATATATGATGAATAATAGGAAGAAAATTAAAGGGAAAAAAAACAAAAAACAAAAATTGAACTCAATTCTTAGTAACTAGAGTCACGATGTATTTTAATCGAGCGAAATATTATTTGAAAAAATTCCGGCAAAATCACGACAAGATTAACTCGTTTCTATGTTTGAAAAAAATTTTTTTAATCCTAGTCTTTTGCAAGGAAACTTTTTTCAAAAAAGAAAACATTCAACATCACTTCCATTGATATAATCTTCTCATTAAACGGAATTATGCAACTTGTAGATTAGAAAAGGAAAGAGAAGAAAAATGAAGTTGTTAACCCTGTTGTTCAGTAGTAGTAGTATTCAGTTTATACCGATTTATTTCTTTTTTGCATCATATTTTTATAAAAATTTGTAAAGCATCGCTCGTAATATACAGGAAGAGGGAGAGACGGCATACCACTCTTATCAGTGTTTACATGAACTATTATTATTATTACTACTTCAAATAGGACGTACCCCTTATGTATTTACTGTTTTGTAATAGTTGTGCGTGTGTTTCTGATTTCTGAACATGGAAGAAATAGATAAAACCGCTGCAATAGTTCGCGGCCCACCATTAAGTACACTATTAAACTATTCTACAGTTATTCAGAAGAAGTCGTCCGATCCGAACGAATTTCAATAGTGTTCGTCCTAAAGCCCAAAACATATCAGTGAAATAAATTTTATGAAAATATTTTGAAAAAAGTGACTTGTACCATTGTACACAAGAAAACGAGACGGATGGCCAAACTTCAAATTAGTATGATAAAAGGTGGGTCAATCATCTGGGTATCGCACACATATGCATCAACTTAATATATCCTTATATCATCACAAGTGCTGTGAGCTGTAAAAAAAAAAAAAAAAAAAAAAGATTAATTTTATGGATTTGTTTTTCTCATGAAACGAAGAAGAAGAAGAAGTGCTAAGAAAACATTATTATTTCGAGTTGGCTCTCATAAATGAGACGTAGCAAAAAAGATCGAGTGTTCACGCAAGGGGAAATCAAAGAAAAAATCATTTTTAGCATATTAGCTAAACAATTAAAGCAAATTTGAATAAATATTTGAATGATACATAGGGCGTGTTAATAGACTATTGACAAAACTGATTTATTTTAATTGATTTACAAAGATGATTGCAATTATTTCCCATTATAAAAGGGGAGCTTATCAGTGACCATGACTCGCAATGCAATTGCCGTTGATCAACGAAAACTTTAAGATTTTTCTATTCAATACTTATACACGGCATTTCACATTTACTACATACTTTCTTTCGAACACTTTCAACAACCCAGCTGTGGCTCTCGAAAATGGCATGAATAAGTCAAAAATCATCTTCGAGCTTCAGGTGAATTTTCGTAACCAATCCCTTGAAAAATTAAATATTTACCACAATTATTCAATGTGAACTCATTTTATATTTGACAATTTACAACCGATCGGTTCTATTAATATTAATACTGATGCCTACATAATTTTTAATTGCATCTACCCAGTATAGCTCATAATGTAATTTCCGCGTGTTCTTAAGATTATTTGAGTTATCCGGTTTTTATGAAATTATTAAGAAACGATAGTTGGAAAAGCAAATCAACTTAACATCTCTTAAAAGTTAATTGTATGCCTATTTCAAAAATTCTCCGAGATATTCGTTATCGATTCACGGGGACTAACTGTTGCCCTACCGTTCGAAGGAATTTAAAAATTTTTTCAAGGAAAATTGAAGCATTCCTCGTAACATTGATACTTAATGACTGTCAACGAGCAAATGTATGAGAAAGCTACTCGAGTTTTTACGAAAAAAATCCGCATCAATTCAATTCACCTGTGAGATCACGTTGTGTACTTTTGAACAATTACAAAGCTCGAAAGCTTTTATCGTGAAATTAAATTGATTAACATTCAATTGAATGCAATTTATTCAACTTTCCTCAGAATTCCTCTTAATTTCTAATTAATATATCCCTGAAAACATTCTCATCACTAGTGACGGAATTAATTTTAACTTATCTATATGCTTCTATATGCTTCGGTGCTTTCCATAGTTCTGCGAATTAGATAAGGAAAGCGGACAAAAATCTGGAAAAAAGAACAAAAAATGTAGTCGTCCATCCATGGGGTATACGAGAACACGAGAAAGATACAACGTTAAAAATATTATATATATATACATATATATATATATATATATAGTATAATATTCCGTTTAATTACAAAAAAATTGACAGTGCATCTAATAGATTGCCGAGGGTGTGTAGGTTGGTTATCTTTTCATCATAAAGTAGTAATTTCGGGCCAACGTATAAATAAATAATAAATTGAAATAAATAAATGAAATGGACATTTCCCAAATGGAACCAGCTAGTACAACGAAGCTACCGTTTGTTGTCTATCAAAATTTATGATTATTTTATTTATCGTTAAAGAAGTATCGATGACGTTTCATTTAAAGCCATCGATTTTTCCCATCTCTCTCGACTCGATGAATATTTCGTATTTTCCGATCGCATACACTAATCAGATAGACAATGCGACATTGACTGGTACTTCTGAAAGTAATCGATGAGATTCATCGGCAAATTTATTGAAAGCAAATAAAAGATCCCGCAAATGGCGCTTATTCGAAACAAAGCTTGACATGTTCGCACGGACAGTGCATCAATTAGATGCTGCTACGAAATCACTAATGCGTCAAGGTTGCTATGTTACCAGATGATTACGCTTACGATATTACGTTTTAAATCAAAACTTTATGGCGCAGTCATCGATGGCAACTTATTTGATCAGATCACTTAAGATGTAACGTTGCCGTCATACAAACATGTAAGGTTATGACGTGGTAGGTAGTAAAAAAGAAATGAACAAAGCAAAAAAGAGAGAGTGTGGCCGCAGCCATGTATGGATGTATGCCCCAATCGGGAACTGTTCTGCCCTTAGCGATTAAGCACTCAACGATAAGCTACGACCAAATATGCTCTGCCGCAATGAGATCTGAAATGACACCGACACCGACGATTCCCATTTACTCATCTATCGTTTGTTACAACGTTCTGTAGATTCTAAGGGTAAATTTTCAATTCGAGTGATATCGCAACTCTTTACATTTCAAATAGTTTGGTGAAATATTGCAACAAAGTGAGAAAACTTCTTTGACTGACCTTAAAATTGCGTTATAACATTCAGTAAACTGATCTCAGTTTTCTTCTTCTGTCCTTTTTTTTTTTTTTTTTTATTAAGAGAATACTTTTGCTAAGCGTAAAGTTTATCATATCATGGGAAAGCCTTTCTTAGTGAAAAGCCTTTTGTCGATTTTCAGTTGTTCGGTCATCTTTGAAACTCGTTTAATGTTAATGTGTAAGACTGCGCCTTACATAAGTCATTATGAGTTTTCTGCGTTTCATCAAAATAACGCATAACAACGAAATTTGTAAAAAGATTTATTATAATGTTTTCACACGCATTAAGTACGTTTCTGAGCATCGCAGAGATGTATGTTATCTGAGAGACCAATAAGTGAAATTGATATTCATTCTCAATGTTATTATTATGCACGGATAAGATATGTGTAAGTAAATTAAATGCAAATTTACGAATTTTGCTCATCTGTGAATCTTCAATAATATTTACACGACCTAAGCTTAATAATAATTTTTTCTAGTCATTGCATTGTTTTTTTATTTATTTTTTTTTTATTTTTTTTTGGATACAAAATCAAAGATAAAATGATATTTAAATACCGCAGCACATTCACCATATAAAATTTCAATTATAATATGGTTAACCAAGTAATAACGTAATTTATACAAATTCACAGGTAATGATTTAAACAATTCAAATGCCCGTTTTATGATTAATTAACCATAATTAATTTTTAAATGTAATTAGAGTATATATATAAATATATACACTTACACATACACCCACACATACACACACACGCACACACACACACACACAC